TTAGAGAGTGAGAGGTTCGAACTAAACCTCCCTCTAACACTCTAAACATTTTATTAAGTTAATCTTTGAAATATTACAGAGAGGCCCTTGAGTGGGTAAGAAATTACAAAAACAGAACATTACAGAGTATGGGCCCAGAATAAAGCCCATTACAGAGGGAAACATAACATAACATGAAATGACAGTCTATGGGCCATTCGGCCCATCTCCTCTACACTTTCTTCTTGGGAATTAAGGATATAAAAGTTGCACTCAAGCTCTTTCCAAGGCTGCAGAATCATGAAATTCCTCTAGAACCTTTAATACATCAGCTTTAAGAAGCTCCCCGAATTTCTTAAAGAATAACATTGTGAACCCATCTGGACCAGGAGATTTTTCCCCTTACATCTATTCTAAAGCCTTCCTTACTTCAAGAGCTTTTCTAAATCTGAGGCCTGCTGATCTAACAGAAAATCAAACTTCAAACCATCCAATTTTGGTCTTCTCTTGCAGGGTTCACTGAAGAGATCTTTGTAAAAACCAACAAAAGAATCTGCTATGTCTTTCTCTTGTTTCACTAATCGGCCTCTAATTTCCAGCCTTTTATGGAATTAATCCTTCTTCTTGCATTGGCAACCTTGTGGAAGAAAGCGGTGTTGTTATCACCTGCTTTCAGCCACATGACTCTTGATCCTTTTACAGCCTCCTCACTAAAAAAATGAGATGTTAATCTCTTTATCCTTTTAAATAATAATCTCTCGATGTAGGACTTACCAACTAAGACAATAGTCCACTCTCAAGTCTCCGCTACATCCAGTCATAGACCTTACCAACTGAGCCAGTTGTAACAATAGGAACCATTGGTGCAATGGTAAAATCTCGGCTGAAAAGTGTGAGTAAGTGGGTCCGAGTCTAAGAGGAGCCACTTGGTGCACGAAAATGCTCAAGGTGAGGTTCCCATCCAGTCCACCCCTCCTAATACCCTGGTAGTTAGGACCAACATTGGTAATGATCCTTTATATAAAGATAAATACAAATTGTTCAGAAGAAAGGAATAAGAAAGATGCAGTTTGGGTAGGACTATTGGCTTAGATTTTTGAGTTCTCAATAACCTCTTCTGGAGGTATTTGATAACATATACATGGTAAACCTCAACAAAAACTGCTTACTGTCAAAGCAATGGAAAGGGATAAACAGTAGTATTATGCACTGACCACATGCAATACAAGAAACCGAAAAACAAAATACAAATCATCCCTGGCCAGAAGCCTCCCAAAACAGACTTTCCCTGCCAAACCTTCATGAGTAAGGCCATCAGATTATGAGTCCACAAACCTTGGAATCCACCTAAATGACCTATTCATTCTAGAAGTCAAGAATCTTGCCATAACAACAGTATGTCGGGAAACCCAGCTATGGATGACAGCATCCACCTGATTATAACTTGATAATTGCCTTCCACCAGCACATGCTCTAATCCCAAAGCAAAGTCAATCTTTAGACCTAGTAAACCGACCTTGATGGCTGTTGCTTCCCTTATTATACATCCTTTTTGTTCTTTTGAGAAAGGGTAAAGCACAAGTGTATTAATTTGTGAAGGGAAACAATTCAAGATGTACAAAGCTGTAGTCATGTAGGTACATTAGATTTTTTTCTGTGATGATTTGTTATGGGATACAAATTGCTATATGTCTGAGAGAGCACTATACAAATTGCTATTAGTACCATAATTGATATCCCTTGGATGAAGTAGATTGCCTTGGAGACATTAGGAGAGTACTACACTTGGCAACCTAAAGGCAAGAACTTTGAAAATAAACTTGTTCAGAGAACTACAAAGAGAAATAGGTTTGAAAAGGTCTTAGATTTGACTTTCTTTGGGATCAGAACAATGAACATGTACTTTACCTCCTCCAAGATCTTCCTACCCCTGAGATAACTTCTCAATGGTCATTAAATTGTTCCCTTCAATATCCCCAACATGCTTGAAAAAGGTTTGCATTTAAACCATCAGGGTCAGGAGCCACGTCAGGCTTCCTTCTGAAAATGGACTGAGGACTCCTTAATTTCATTGTCTGAAACCTCTCTGCATAAATCAATCATCCAGTCATCCAAGGGATTTTGATATACTAGCATGTTCTCTCAATTGACCCTATCCTCAGCACAGCAGTACCCAAAAAATTCTTGAAGTATCTGCCATCTCAGCTTCTCACTCTCTATATCTTCTTCTTCTAATGAAACCCTTCTTCCGAATAAATTTTATTTATTTTATTACCATAATGTCGAGCTATCTAGAAGTTATTAAAGAATCCGATTTGTATCATCCCACTCAAGCCACCTATCTCTGCTTTTTCTGCTTAAGGAACAAATCTTTGAAGTCCAGGGAAAGTAAAGAATCATCTTTTTCTTGGGATTGAGCCCATGCCTGAATTGGTTGACATATTGCACTCAACCATGAAGTCACTAACCCAAGTCCAGATTATCCAGCTAATTGAGAAAAATTAAAGAAACCCATTTCAAAGGAAAACAAATAAAAAATGCTGTTTTAACAATTTTGAAAAATTGGAAGGTCAAGTGTTAAATCCGGATTGCAAAGAGTCCAAGCGAAACCAGCTAGAACAGCAACCTAAACTCCCATTAAGCTTAATGAATACTGTTAGCATCTTATGCAAGTCCACGGCATTCACCTATACCATGTATATGCGTTCAAATCATTCTACATGGATATCTTCAAAGCTGAAAGCGAGATTAAAATTGTCCAAGCTTGCAAAGGTTTCGCACCTTGAAGGAGGAACGAAGAAGAACATGTAATCGTGATTCGAGGTGGTGGCGGGTTTGGAGGTGGAGAATGTCGCCGAGGCGCAGAGCAGCGGCGGTTGTGAGGAGGTGTACAGGGGTGGGGCCTCCTCTTGAAATCGGAAACCTGAAGGGCGAAGGCACAGCTTCCATCTTCTTCTTCCCAGGGAGACCTACCAGCGAGCCTCTCTTTTACTCGTCTCTTTATGCATAGAGGGGTATTTTTGTCATTGAACAGGGATAGTAGTTAGGCATATAGCTGGTTTTAAAGGATCAATCTTTATCGCCCACGTGGATGTTACAGTCGTTGTACGCGAGGAGAAGGGAACTTGTCTTCTTGCAGTAAGACTGAAATGGAGTGGATAATCCACCCGCCCATACCCTACATTTGGGTTTGTATATAGATCGTTTTCGTTTTGGTAAATGGTTTTGTATTTAGACGGTGGACAGTCATATAAAGGATTTAAAAAAAATTCACAGCATCATTATCATAATTACTGTGTGAAATTAAATTAAATTTAAATTGTTAGTATAATAGAATTTTTTAAAATTTAGCTAATTAATGTGAAATTTAATTTCATTCAGATAATTAACAATAAAATACACAATTTTGAAATTTGTTTTTATTCAATAAATTAAATAATTGTTAGTATTATAGAATTATTGAAAATAAAATAAATGAATGTGTTATGATAATTTTGAATAATTACAATAATTATCAATAACATAAAAACTGTTTTTCTCAAAATTATTTGTTTTATTATAATTTTAGTAATTATATTTAATAATATTTATTGATGATGCGCAATCCGGTCGGTCCTAGCTGCCAATCACCTTGCCTTGGACAGAGCTAAAGATGCTTGAAACAAAGGAGAAAATGGGGACTTTCGGGGAGGAACCCGATAGGAACACTCCGAAGCTCAAGTTAATGTCCTTGAGAAGACAAGGAAAATGATAGATTGCAAGACCAGAAAGCACAAAATATCACATACCTCGTTCTTTGGGGGAAGGGGGCCTTTTATAACCGCCCTGGTACACTCATTCCCATACCTCTGCCACATCAGGTATCATAACCTCTGCCGGATCGGGCGTTATCACCTTTGCCAAATCGGGTGTCATAATCGCCACTGTCTTCCTTGTCAGGGCTGTCTCTGTGACGTCAGAGATGGCGGTGGCAGGTGGCCGTTGGAGTGCGACTATCATGTGTCAGACCCCTAATCAGTTGGGCGTGCCGCCTCCGTGCACGGGCTTCTTTGGCGTCAGGTACGGTTCGTTGGGTCACGCGCCCTGGAGTCGAGGTGCCGGAGTGGTGTGCAAGGTGAAGTCTTGGGTTCAGATGAATAGGTCCTACTATCCTGAAGTGCTGGCATGTGGTTCGAATTGACCCGAGGTGGACTAGTTCGGGCCTTGCCCCTCGTGAGCTTCGTTATTAGCCTCGGGATCCTTTAGGGAGAGCTCGGGCTTCACCTTCCAAGAAGCGTGAGTCCCTTTTAGAGAGCTCGGGCCTCTTCTTGAGAAGCTCGGGAGCTCGGGCCTCTCTTTGGGATATGGTTGTGCTACGTCTCTGTGCCGAGCTGGCATTCCTATCAGGTTATCCAGTCTTTTTCCACGTATCACACAGCTAAGGGGTCTGACTAAATCTACCTCCATCATTTATTAAAAATACCAAACTCATGTAATCTAGATTAATTATTTATCTATTTAACTTAGATCGATCTTAATTAATTACAATTCTACAATGACTAAACACCAACCTACAAAATGATATTTGGAGAGAGAGCAATTTTCCCCATCCCCATTGGATACCCCGAGTTCAAATCTACGCCCCACACGCTCACCATCCGCCATCTGTCCCTTCACACGAGAGATGCTAAATAGCGCATGCGGGGCTAACGGACGTTAACCCTTTCCATTACCCTCCAAAAGTCCCATTTACGAGCTCAAACCCTTCATTCGACAACTCTAGGTTAGGGTCCCTCTCGAGTGCCTGACCCTAATTGCTTCTCCCTTGCCAGAGCATCTTCTCCTTCGGCACTGGCACCTATAACGACAACTGGTGGTACTCTCCAGCCCATCTTTTCCCCTCATTTTTTATTTTTTATTTTTTTCTGATATTTTCATTTTCCAGATATCAGAGAAACCGGCGGCAGAATCATCTTTTCCTTCTCCGGCACCAGAACCTAAAACGACAATCGGCGGTACTCTCCATCCCACCTTTCACCTCATTGTTTATTTTTTCTTCTTTTTTACTGATGTTTTCATTTTCCAGATATCAAAGAAACCGGTCTCCTTCTCTGGTTTTGATACCGGTCTCGCACTGGCACCAAGATCCCCGGTACGAAACCAACCCCCTTTAAGGTACCCATTCCCCTCTTCAACTTCTCCACAGTCTACAATTACCCCATTGGGTCTACCAAATCCTTCGTAGAGGCTTAAGATGAGCCAGGCCCAGTCGGTCGTGGCCGATACAGCCTCTGCATGAAGCCACATATCAAGCTTAGTCAATGGCGAAAGGGTGCTCAGTGGTTCGAGATGGACCGAGACCTGGCCACCAAGGTAGCCTCCGACCGAAACTATTTCTCTCTATTTGGGAGATACTGTAAGCCTTCGTGTTATCAGATCAGCACTACATACCAATATTTGTGAGCTTGAAGTTCTGGGAGAAGAACTCGAACCGAAGCTTGACTTGGGTCGACTGGTCAAGAGGAGGACCACACCCTACCAGATTTATGAGAACAGATGTGACTGTAGAGCTTTTAGAGAGGATGAGGAGTGGAAGAACTTGTGAGTACAATGGCAAAACTGCCAATGTTTGCTCTCTGTTTGCGAGAAAGTTCTAGCCTAATACAATGGTACAATGGCAAAATCAAGGGCAAAACTGCAAATGCCCTTGATTTTTTTTTTAATCTTAATTTTCATTTTTTTCATTTCATTTGTTAAGGGCTTCAAGTAAGTCCCTAGGGATTTAAACCCTACTGAATAACAGGGTTCTTCACAATTTTGAGGGGTCCTGACGATTATGATATGTGGATCAGTCCCACCTGTGAATATAAAAGGAATGGCGACCATACAAATTGTTTAATTTTTTCTATAATAAGAGTTCCTTCTGGTCCTAATTGTTAAGCAGCTGCATTGTAATTTCTTGGAATATTAATAAACGGATTCTTCATCTGTCAGTATTTTCAATTCTGTTTTTCCAATATTTCTTAATGCTTCATCTATTGGGTACATAAGAATTAAGGATGATTGAAACTGAGGAGTCCCAAAATGTTACAGGCCTTTCATCCCATCAAGGACTTCCACTTTTCACAGTTAATAGGGAATTGTGTTTTGCTCAAATAAGTGAGAAAAAGAAAGTTGTGGTAAATTCCTTAATAATTGTAGAAAATGTCAAATTTTCTCACAAATTTCCCTCATTTTTATTTATTTTCCAATGTATCAAAAACAGTGCCAATTCTTAACCCAACCTGCCCATTTAGTATATCACAATGGATGCTTAATGAGTTGATGGGTTAAAGATCAATCCAGGCCCCTAAAACTTGCCATTCTACTGTGAATAAAGGGACCTTCTCAAGTCTGAGTAAACAAGACAATATAAGGTTCTGAAGCCCCTAAAACTTGGCATATGTTCCATGTTTTGAGGGGGACCAGAATCTACCCAATACAATTAAAATAATGATTCCATGGAAAATCACCATGATGTTACTAGACATAATTTTCCTTCCAAGAGTAGGCACTGTCACTTCTACTGGTAAAGTTCCTTTGATTTGTGGTCGGTGGGCAAGGCAAACGCGAAACGCCTCTCTCGATAGCGCATCACATCAAGTCATCAACCAGATTTACCCACCTGTTTTTACTCTATCAATCGCGCATTCACTTTTCTTTTGCGCAAGCTTTTGAACAGAAGGCCTGCCCTTAATGTTAGCCAAATGGAATAAAGAAAGGTGCCGGTGCCGGTGCCGGTGCCGGAGAAGGAGACCGATTTCTCTGATATCTAGAAAATAAAAATATCAGAAAAAAAGAAGAAAAAATAAACAATGAGCTGAAAGGTGTGATGGAGAATACCGCCGGTTGTCGTTGTAGGTGCCAGTGCTAAAGAAGGAGAAGATGACTCTGCCGCCGATGGGCTGGAGAGTACCGCCGGTTGCCGTTGTAGGTGCCGATGCCGGAGAAAGAGAAGATGCTCTGGCGAGGGAGAAACACATGAGAGGGAGGAGAGGGAGAAGAGAGTTTTGGAGATACCCTAACTTGGAGCTGTCGAATGAAGGGTTTGAACTCGTAAATGGGATTTTGGGGGGTAAAGGAAGGGGCTGATGGACGTTCAGTTAGCCCCTCATGCGCTATTTAGCGTCTCTCGTGTGAAGGAACAGATGGCGGATGGTGAGGACAGGGACAAGGACTATTTTGGTGCGGACAGGGACCTGATCTGGTTAAGTATGTGGACTATTTTGGTGCGGACAGGGACAAGGACAATGGGGAGTGAAGTCCCCACCCTGACCCAACCCTAAATATTTTTAAAATTAGAATAGTTACTTAAAAACTGGGGTTAAGGATGAGGTGTATGATCCCTGCCTTCAACTTACCATTACCATTCCTAGTATCAAAGCAATTCGACCCAATTGAGAATATTTATCAGTTTTTGTTGTTTTACTTTCCTTTGACAAATCTCGTATCCCACTGGTCTCCACTAGCTATTGTTATAAATTAGCATCCACTCAAAAGAAAAAAAGAAATCCATCAAAAAAAAGGAAAAAAAAAAACAACTACCATTATTAATTTATTATATATATATGTACAAATATATTACAAAAATTGATTTATTAAGACACTCCTATATTTTCATGTATTTTTTTCGGGTAGATTATAAAGACCCTCCTTATTATGCGATCATTGACAATTACCCCCTTAAAATTTTCATTTGCAGAAAAGGCCCCGTTGAACTTTCACAAGATGCTACTTGTTATTCTCCCTGCTTTTCTAATATCAGCTCCCACATAAACGTAGGACAATCAACGTCAGATTAGACAATAGTGTGCTATCAAAACATTGTGACGTGTGCCTATTAGGTTTCGATTTTTCTATGATTTTTTTATTCTTATTTTCATTTTTTTTTGTTTGTGGAACAAGAAAATTTTAATTTTCACTTTATTTCTATTTATGGAGTAACACCCTTTGTTAGAGGAA